TCTTCATGCTACTAGTTCTAAGACTATCTATGCCTAATTGGGTAATCTGAACTTCTTCAGGGCCTATTCAGTTAGTGTATTGACTCTTGAATGCCTATGAACATGTTTATTCACCTACCCCCCCCCCCCCCCCGAATCCCTGCAATAGTCTGTGTTGAGATTTTCAGTGTTAGTCATTATGGCCCTCAACATGCTCATTTGATCCCATACCCCTTTAGTATTTGTTTGTGATTTAGAACAATTATCTCAGCATGTTTTGAACTGTTACTTTAAGGTGCTTGGCTAAACCTTTGGCATAAACTGAATCATATTCTGTTAATTAGACCTCTATAGCAATGCTTGAATGTTTATCTGCTATTTGTGTGCCTTTCATGCTATCCAAAATCTCTGTAACATGTTTTGGCATATGTGTCTGTGATCCTACCCCAATGCTAACATGATGCCCTCTCCTTTCTGTGATTATGTGGTTTAGCACAATGTTGCCTAGCATAATTCCCAATCATGTTTCAACCTGTCTAGTAATAATAACCCCAGTCAATCCTGCCAACATGCTCTTATCAGCCTCTCTTTGGCATGTGATTTTGAGCTAAGTGTTGAACCTGTTTTCTTAAGTTTGCATTGAGCTGGATTTTAAATTCTGTGATTTGGTCAACTGTTTGCCTAATATGTTCAATTTGGTTGTGTTTGTTTAAATCACTCAATTCATGTCCCTCAACTTTGGTCTTTTCTCTTTCACTTCTTGCTTAAGGTTCTCTGAATCCTATTCTTAGCCGGCTGAAAGCCAAGGCTATTTAGGTTCTGTCCTTTGACCTCCCTAGTGTGAGCAATGCTCGGGGTCCATTTGAGACCCTTGTGAACTCTGACACACTAGGACTTGGTCCCTAGTCTTTCCTTGAGCTGTTTCTGATCAATCTCTTAGTGTGAGCACTGCCCTGGGTTCTTGAAGCCCTTGGGAACTCTGACACACTAGGGATGTGGGTTCTGTATGCTCAGCATTGATATATGGGTGAATCACTCCACAACTGGTTCTGTTGTATGAATATGGGTTTTGGAGCTATTGTGAGTTGAAAGGCCTGGCCTGTCCAGGTGTATTTGGGCCTGTTGTAGACTCCCTATAGTTTACTCACTTTGTAATTCATTACATTAATTTCTGGTCTGTAATAACAATTCTGGGGTGTTAGTGAAATTGGGAAGGGTTTCTTATTTTTTGCAATAAAAGTTGGGTAGAAATCCTGCCTATAGGTCCAACAATGTGTTATTATATGTAATGTGTTAGAAATCCTGCCAATAGGTCTAACACTGTGCTATTATATATGATGTGTTAGAAATCATGCCTATAGGTACCTTATTATGTTTAATCATCCTATACGGGCAACCATGCCTATAGACTTAATGCTCGGTTCTGTTATGTTTTGCTTTGCTAGAAACCATGCCTATAGGAAATGGTGTGATCCAATATGTGTGCAAAATGCCTGTTTACATACTGTTATGTTCAAATTGCAGAGAGCATGCCTATAGGATCTAAAGCTGGACCAAATTGTAGAAGGCACGTTACAGGCCTGAATTTGTTTAATTATCAGCTCTGTCCGAGTTTCCAAATACTATGTTGTTACCCTCACTAGAAAACATACCTATAGGATTCAAACAAATAATTCTAGATCTGTTTCTGTGACCTGCCACTATCTACTATCGCATAAAACACCTAGATACCATGCTAATAGGCTTAATCGTATTATGCTAAAATCAGTAGGCAAACCTATGTAGGTTCTACTTATCGCATTAAGAAACTAATTTTGTACAGGACTGTTTGTTTGTTCATTCAATATCACATAGATATCCTGCCTATAGGATTCTGAAATTAATAAAATCTGTCGATGTTAACCAATTTGGCGTGCATTTGATGTCTAAATGCGGAGGCTAACTTGAGCCTATACTTGTTTCTATTTGAAAGTCCTAACTGTTTTGTCTGTCGCTTAGTATTTTTCCATTTTTGAGCAGCCTAAGTTAAAGTCTAGAACCACCCTGAAATAGAGGTCCAAATGCCTCCTGGACCATAGGCATGGGACGGGTAGTGCACGTGTAGGACACGACTTAGAATTGACTAGTGCGCTTTAAGTAAACAACTTAAAGATAGTAATTGGGTAGCAGGAGATGATAGTCTGTGCTCGCTGAATAATATGAGTAACACCCCATCTCGAGGGAGTTATGAAGTATTATTTAAGTTGCACGGGGTGATCCTTTAGACTAAAAAACTTAGGAACCCCCTCCCCTTTGTCTTTCAATTGTTTATTCACGTTTAGTAATCCCTTGTTTCTTAGCTTTGATCACATAGACTAATTCATATAATTGAGTCCAATCGGGACCCACAGTTGTGGACCTCGAAGAGTGCCTAACACCTTCTCTTCGAGGTAATTTCGAGCCCTTACTCGATCTTTGGTGATGTAAACTGGTCAAACAAAGTTATTTGCAAATAGGTGCCCTAACGTACCTTAATCCGTTATGTGGCGACTCTCTCTTTTAAAACCCTTCCTTAAAAGAGTTGTCACGTGTCAAAACTTGATTTCGCGAGAAGAAGGGGCGCGACATAAGGTATATTGGACGACCACCATATTTCTCCTCTTCTGAAACTATAACATTAAAATCTCCTCCCACAAGCCAAGGAACCATCATATCTGGAGCAAGATGATACAATGAGTCCCATAGCATGACAATATGTCAGTCACTCCGTATGAGATAAAATTTGTAGAGTTGTCTTATTATGCAGCTTTATTCATTCCCACTAAGACGGGGAAGGTGAGGAGGTTCATTGAGGGGTTTATTTTTGACTTAAGCTCAGTATGGCTAGAAAAACAGCTATTGGGACTACTTTTCAGCAGGCAGTGGAGATAGCACAGATGATTGAGCGCATCCTTAGTCAGGGGATAGAAGCAGTGAAGGATAAGAGGCATCGTCATTCAAGAGGATTCATTGATGCCTCATTTGGAGGCAAGAGTCATTTTGGTAGAAGCTACTCTAGTAGGCCAGTTCACTCAGCACTTTAGATTTCTCATGGAATTCCAGTCGGTCGTGGTTATCACAGTGCTCGTTAAGGGCAGGCATCCTACCGTGCATATCCAGCAAATAGTTCATACAGTGGTTATTCTGGCCGTCAGGGTCAGACTTAGTCCTAACAGTCACGCTAGCAAAGAGATTTTTTTTAGAGTGAAGATCTGAGGCATGTTAGGAGAGATTGCCCTAGGATTCGAGGTGGTATATCTTAGGGTACTTAGGTTATGATTATAGCCTTAGTTGTCGGTGTCTGCCCAACCAATTACAAGTGGAGGCCAGCCAGCTAAGAGGTGGAGGTCAACCAGCTAGAGACTGTCCTAGAAGAGGAGGACATGTCGGTGGAGGATAGGCTCATCGTTATGCTTTCCCTGGTTGACTTGAGGCAGTGGCATCCATTGCAGTTATACAATTATTGCCTTAGTTTGTCATAAAGATGCTTCGATATTATTTTATCTGGGTTTTAGTTATTTGTATATGTGATGTTACTTTGCATCATATATATATATATATGTGTGTGTGTGTGTGTATGTGTGTGTGTGTGTGTGTGTGTGTGTGTGTAGGGTGTGTGTGTGTGTTTGTTTGTGTGTGGAGGGGGTGTATTATATAAACCTAACATTAAATTAGGAAACAATCACGCTTCCTCCTTGGTTAGCAAAAACTAAAAGAAACAGTAAGTCTATTGTTGAGAGTGCAGACATCTCATCTAAAAGTTTAAGCTATTAGAAAACGTCTAATTACTTAATTATTTCTCACCCAATGAATCCTCTTGAATGACGAGGCCTCTTATCCTTCACCGCATCTCTCCCTGACCAAGGATGCTCAATCATCTGTGCTATCTCCATTGCCTGCTGAAAAGTAGTCCCAATCTCTGTTTTTCTAGCCATACCGAGCTTAATCCAAAATAAACCCCTCAATGAACCTCCTCACCTTCCCAGTCTCGGTGGGAATGAATAAAGCTGCATAATAAGAACTCATACTGAGTGACTGACATATTGCGGTGCCTCATCTGGAAGCAAGAGTCATTTTGGTAAAGGCTACTCTAGTAGGCTAGTTCACTCAACACATATTTCTCGTGGAATTCTAGTCAGTCATGGTTCTCACGGTGCTCGTTAAGGGCAGGCATCCTACCGTGCATCTCCAGCTCATAGTTCATACAGTGATTATTCTGGTCGTCAGGGTCAGACTCAGTCCTAACAGTCACGCTAACAGAGAGGTTTTTTTGAGTGTGAAGATCTGAGGCATGTTAGGATTGCCCTAGGATTCGAAGTGGTATATCTTAAGGTACTTAGGTTATGATTCTAGCCTTAGTTGTCGGTGTCCGCCCAACCAACTACAGGTGGATGCCAGCCAGCTAGAGGTAGAGGTCAACCAGCTAGAGACTGTCCTAGAAGAGCGAGGACATGCCGATAGAGGATAGGCTCATTGTTATGCTTTCCCTAGTTAACCTGAGGCAGTGGCATCCAATGCAGTTATATAAGTATTATCTCGGTTTGTCATAAAGATGCTTCGATATTATTTTCTCTGGGTTTTAATTATTTGTATGTGTGATCTTACTTTGCATCATATATATATATATATATATATATATATATATATATATATATATATATATATATATATATATATAATATTATATATATATATTATATATATATATACGTGCGCGCGCGCGCATGTGTATGTGTGGGAGGGGGGGGGGGGGGGGGGGGAGTGAGTGTATTTTGTAAATCTAACTTTAAATGAGGAAACAATCACGTTTCCTCCCTGGTTAGCAAAAACTAAAAGAAACAGTAAATATATGGTTGAAAGTGTACCCATCTTATCAAAAACTTTAAGCTATTAGAAAACGTCTAATTACTATTATTTCTCAACATCTATAAATGAGGAGTCAGACTACAGTCCTAATAAGATGTTTATGATTTCATCTGACATAACACCACAAGGGTGAAAAAGAACATCAATAGCCAATAAATCTAGATTCAGCAACGAAAACTTCCATAGGATTACAATAAGAGAGTTCAATTTAAAGTTTTTTTCCAAAGATAAGATGAACACTGCATAAATAAGAAAGCACTACATACCTATTAAGCAAGCTACTGTACCGACCAAAACAACTAAGATAAATGCTGGGATATAGGTAATAATAGATTCCATAACAAGGGAGAATGTGCTCACAATACTGCAACTGTCATTGGAATTGCATTGCCAGCTCATGCCAATTCCAGAACAAATATAACTAATCTGCATGTTAAACTGGTAAGTGGTAGAGAGTGATATCCTCGTTTGAAGCACAGTGGAGTCTTTTTGAACAATTTCAAGGATAACAAAGAAGCCCAAGAAACGATTAAGGAACTTTGGTTGCCAGGAGTATGGTGATGGAATTCAAGGTGGAACTTCGTCTGGTCTGCACCTCTCATCGAGGAACAACTCTAGCAGTAATAGTAGTAGCCTCGGATAGTTGATAAAAATCATGTGGTCTTTGCCCTTTTTCTTGTTTTACCTCCCTCCGTTGTCCAGATAACAGCACTAGCAGAGGCATAACACCTTAGCTTTTCAAGGATCCTTCTTTCACTGATGCGCAGCACCGATGAGTAATATCTCTTAGGTTCTTTCACCAGACAGCAACAGTTCAAAGTTTTGATATCATCTTCTAGACAATTTGAACCATATAAACTTTCTCGAATATCTGCTAGTGCCGACAGAGCCGCACAAACTCCATCTGTCAGCAACATACTGTTGCTTAACTCTAAACTATTTCCAAATAAAATAATACCTTTATTTGATAATGTAAAGCTCATGGACTTTTCAAAATCACCCGTGATAGACACTGCAAGATCAAGTTCCGTATATTCTTCATCTGGCAATAATATTATGTATAGCAAAATCAACAGCTCAACTTGTGGCTCCCCATCAAATGAAATTTCGAAATACTCGGAGTTTTGGCTAATGCATCCAGAATAATCTAATTTTTTCCACAGTGATAACCTCCTCTGACTGTAGCGATGTGAAAACCGAGATGAACTCCAGCGGAGTACAAGCTCCAGATCGAGGTTCACAATGTCATACTGGTTATCAGCCTCTGCAAAACCATACCTGTGTAGCAGAGCGGCATTACCTAGAGACCCATACGTATTGAATACCTACGAAGAGTTAGAAAGAAGCCAAGCCAAGAGAATGATTAACCAGTGAAAAGGTAGACACTATATAACAAACAAACATATTCTTTATCAATTTAATACGATACGTGAATCTACACAGGAACATTAATAAGGAAGCTGACAATAAGGGGCCATTTTGTTTGCATACTAGGTATGTGGGGATTATAATGAGATCATTCGTGTGGTGAATAATACTTGAGGGATTCTTATAACATAGAATAATAATGTAGGGATTGTTATGCGTTGAATAAAAGTCGGGGAACATTATGTAGGATTACCTATATTAAAGTATTTTTTATCTATTTCTTATACGTCCAACCAAACACCATATTTTATGCAGGGATTACTCTTGCTTATCCGGCCAGCCAAACATTGTATTATTTTCTGTGAGATTTTGTTCTGAGTTTATTTACCCTAACCCTCCAACCAAACGCCCCAAGAGAATACGGCTTAGATTTTAGATCATAAATAGACATTTCCATTGCAGCTACTTTTCAGCTACTCCTATGCTCAAGAGGAAAGGAAAGTTTCAGTTTTTTCTCTCTCTGTGTTGCTTTAAATTATTAACGGGTATATTTGTGTCTCACTGTGGAATAGCATGATGCTAAAGAACCGTCAGAACACTGTCAGGATCTAATTCACAAAATCAAAGTAGGTTTATGTAACACCGACTAAAGCAAGATAAAAAAGTTGTTCATCTGTGTGACAGAGTAATTATTATTTGAATAACAATTTCAGATAAAAGAGATCTCACCTCAGCCCCAGCTTTGACCTCTTTCACCATGATCATTTCTAAGTCTGTAAGATCATCCCCTGAAACTGAAGAGAACTCCAAGTAACTCCCGCTAATAGATTCACTTCTTGAATGAGCTTTGGTTGGTTCATGGTTGCTATTTTCATGCTTATCATTGTGAGCATCATCTTCCAATTCAGAATGAGAAGACTCCAAGTCACTCACACTGAAGCATTCACCTCCTGAATGAGAGTTCCTCTTGGCTGGTCCGTTGTTATTATTTTCATATTTGTCGTGATCAGCATCATTATCCAATTCAGAGTGAGAAGATACCAATGTGAAATGTACATCCTCAGCACCAGTCTTGTGATTAAAGCTGCACATTAAAAGTTGTTAGGGTGAGAGGAACTTATTTCAGAGGAACCCTCCAAAGCAAAATCAAGACGACCATAATTTTATAGCAACGGGTACAAGAATATGAAATCAGCTGTATTCATCAATTGCAAGGTAGTAGAGAGCATTTAATTGTTTTAGAAGGTGGCTACTTGCGTTAAATGAAATATGTCTAATTGATTGTAGGGAAAACAAACATTCTGCATTCAAATGCTCTCCCCACTGGAGTCATCTTTTTATTTTTTATATTTGATGTGTCGGCATAGAAAGCGCCAGTATACACGAAGTATACCCAAAACATAACCTACAAAGAAATGGTTTTCTACGAATGACACCCAATCTTTTATACAAAAAGGAGTATCAGGGGTGCACCAAAAAGAAATAAGGGACAAAAGACGACTCCTCAACTTTACAAAATCCAACTCTACACCCTCAAAAGCTCTCCTATTTCTTTCTCTCCACATAGCCCAAATAAGTGCAAGCGGTGCCACATTCCACACCGTGCGACTAATTTTTTTTGCCAAAGTTCCAGCTGAACAACACCCGGAACTTAGGCAAGACTTTGATCCAACAAGTCAACAAGTAGTTAAAGAACTACCTTTTGATGGGTTACTGAGCTCTAAACACATAATATTCAAGGTATTACGAGAGGATCTGCATGTACTCAAGGTAATAAGTTACTGATATAGATCCACAATGAAAACCCTTACTAGTCTGACCAGAATCAACAATAATATTCTCAAGCGTGTACGCAGTTAATACTGAATTGAAGAGTATTTTTGTTTTATTCAAAGCTAGGGGACTACGACTGGAGTATGTGTAATTCTCCTTACTGCTTCACTTGGAACCTCAGTCAAGAAAGCTCTTTATAATGAAGTTGATCTCTGGAATTATCTATAAAATGTTTTCTCAAACAAGCAAGGTACTATTTGGGGAAGCAACTTTCTGGTAGTCCACTTAATATTTTCACCAGTCCAGTAGTTTGTTCCACATCGTCTAGCCCTAAGATATTGTATTACAAGAAACACATATACCTATTACTCCCTCCGTTCCAATTTATGTGAACATATTTCCTTTTAGTACGTTCCGAAAAGAATAACCTATTTCCAGATTTGGAAACAAATTAACTTAAACTTCCAATTCTACCCTCAATGAGAAGCTTTTAATAGCCATACAAAAACTTTGGCATGTTTGATACCACAAGTTTTTCAAAAGAATTATAGTCACACAAAAATATTGTGGATTGGACCACAAGTTTTAGAAGTCTTCATTTGTTTCTTAAGCTTCGTGCCCAGTCAATAGGTTCCATAAATTTTGGAACATGGGAGAAATGGGACAAGAGGAAGACGATAGTTGAGAAGCCACAAAATACAGCAAAACTAGGTAACTACGAAACAATGAAGTGATACGAGTATGACTGTACATAAAGCTGAAAAAATGTTGAGGATATAAGAGCCGGACGTAAGTGATGGGATAACACTGAATAAATCTCGACTTTTTGAGCAAAGTGGTTAGGTTAATAAAATTCAAAAACATGCCACTGCTCATATGCATACATGAGCCATAGATTTAATAATTATCATGAAGCAACACTAGCGAAAATTTAGGGAATTACATCGTGTATCAGCAACTATCATTGACTAGGAAACAGTCCTACACCTCTGACAAACAACAACAACTATTATCCAAAATAAAAGTAAATATAGCAGTACTATAAAGCATATAAATCTCTTATAGGACTTAAAGACATCTAGAAAGCATAGGATCTAAAATAAATGTCTAACATGACTAATCATATTGGTTGGAGGTGCGACTTTCAGGAAGCGAGAAGTCGAGGAAGCAGTAAGACATGACGCAAAAGAATTTGTCACTGTAAGGTGTACTTACAGATCCGCCAAGGGAACCATTCCAAATCCGTGGTAATCATCTATTTCAAATGACCGTGAGGCAATTAGACTTTTTGCAGCAAGATACTCCTCAACACCGAAATGTTCTGGCTTAAGCTGTAAAGAACCTGAAGTTAAAAGAGGCTCAATACACTCTTTCCAGTCCTCGTAGATAAGTTCCTTGTCGTCTTTAACTATCTGCCTACAAATGCATTGAAATGGTCACACAATAGAAATAAGAACAGACCAAAGCTGTTAGTACACAATGACCAAGCTTCAAATAGCTAAAAAGTAGGCAAAACAGCAAATACATTGCAGAAAAGCCTTTCTCTCTCTTCTACATTGAAGTTCAACAACCAGAAGCAGTAACATAGGCAATGTAGCAACATCCGCAATCTTTCCTTTTTAATTGAAAAAGTAATAATTTTATTGCTTTATTGGGGGAAACACAAATATACAAGCAGTTTTACGTAAAGTAGAGAGATCTAAACAAAAATGTCCCTACAAAAATCACCCTTTTCATCAATGATTACTAGAGTTTCTTCGGTGTTGCACAAGTAAACCAAAAAAAAATGCTCAATCTAATATTTGCAAAAGGATTTTCAACCCCTACAGAGCACAATTCTTTGACTCTTCCGGCAGTCAGTTACATTTCAATCTGCTTTCTGAAGTATTGAAACATTAATAATCTCACCCTAGAAAGTCCCAACATAATATTTCCAATAGGAATAAGTTTCCTGATTCGCACAGAAAGATTATTGAGCTGCAAATAATGAAAAAGAGACTCGGTTATATTATTCGGAGGGGTGCTCAGTTCCTTCTTGTTCTCAGAGTGGGCATTGTAGCTCCTACTGGAGGCCTATGTTGCACGAACTCTCCAAAAATGTTGCCAGACCTTGCGGATCTTTTAAAAATGCACTACTCTTGGGGTATTCCAGCGACATTTTTCTAGAGTCCGAGCAACATAGCTGGAGACTGCTTTTTTGGAAATAAATGATGGATTAGATTAGACTACTTGGGTTTTCTTCTAGTAGTGAAGGCAGTCAACATGTCAGCCATCTTAGCACTAAGGTTTACCCTCTCTACAGCGATCATTTTGTTTTCTTTATCGTTAGCTCTCCACAGTAAGGGTTCAGCTGCCTACTTATTGAGTTGATTCTTTCACCAACACCCAGTGGGCAATTCACTCCGAGTTGTAATCAAATTGCACGCCAACTCCGGCAAGTTGAAATCAAATTGAAAGCCACCTGACACCAAGTTGTAACTAAATTGCATCAGAAGCAGATCTAAAATTTAAATTTGAAGAGTTCATCTTCAAATGAAGATGATACATTCCGGCCTGGCACGTAAAGCATGAGACCCATATATGTAGATATCAAGAACATGGAGGGTTTCAAAAGGTCCAAGATCAAGTTAGAAATCCAGATGAAGGATGTTGTTACTGGGCTGTCATGTGACATATCGTGATTGCATATTTCTTGTCAATAAAGGATCTACTGAACCGCCATTACGTGGACTAAGCCGTGATCGCAAAGATGCTGCTACAGGGCATTGGCCGATATCGTGCTACAGCGGGCTCTATCGCGGTGGGACACCTGGAAACAATGGCATGCATTCACGAAGATAGAGTCCGTGTTTGCTGATAAGATCATCACACAGTAAAGCGCGATCGCGAGGCTTTTATCACGATCACGATGCACTATTTCAGACAGTCAGATTCTACAATTGCAATTAAGGCCATTATGGCCATCTGTAATAGGCATTAGCAGTTACGATAAATAGCTATGTCTTAGGTCATTTGCCTTGGTTAGCCTTGGATGAATTGTAGAGATTAAACACTTCTTAGTTAGATTTACTTCGTGTTTAGGGATTAAACCCTTCTATCTCTTTAGTTTGAACCTCTGTTGGATTCATTTATATCTGAATTCCTAGTATGAGCTCTTTCTCTTCTTCCTTGGATTATTTTGTAGAGTTAAATGCTATTTTAATCATTAGAATTGTCCTTTCTTCCTTGGAATTGCTTGTTATTTCTTTCTCCCTATCTTGTTCTTGGTTGTATTGTTCTAATTTCGTGTTTTTGGGTATCAATTTGTATCCTCTTTCAGGTTCTTGCTACTGAACCCATTACACTTTTGAAAATTTAAGTTCAAAGTATAATATTTGTCAAATTTTTAGTGATCTTTTACATACATATTTATGCTCCATGCCGAAACATTGAGTTTAGTTGAACAGAGTAATCACACTCTCCCCCTCCGTCACTGTGTTTCATGCCAACACACTCAAAGTTGTACAAATTTTTTTCATGAAATTACAAGTCAACTTACTTCATCTTGCAAACAAGTTGCCACAAAATATCTTGACAAAACTAAATACTGCTTCCGTTCACTTTTACTTGGCACATTTTGACTTTCCACACCCCTTAAGAAATAATAAATGAAGTGCAAAATTTACCATGATACCCATATTAATTTATGCATATTTCATTGGATTTGAGAAAATGATTTGAAATGAGTAATAAATATTGTGGGTATAACAGGAAAAAAAAAAATTGTCCTCCCTTGATATCCCTTGGTATGGGTAAAGTGACAACTAAAAATGAAAATCTACTTTTAGTATAGATGCCAAGTAAAAATGAACGGACAGAGTAGAAAATCCTAGGATATTTTTTTAACAAGTCCCAATAAAGTACTTTCAACCAGAGTAGAACTCGACCTGCAAAGTCGTCTACACTAAAAATGATTATAGAATAAACATGCAAGCTTCTCGGATAAAATTGCTAGGAAATTCTCTATAGTAGCATAATAGCCAGGCTATACTCTTGAGAAGAAGCAAAAACTTTGGACCTAAGTTCTTCCCTTGTATGGTTAACTATGCTTCCTTCTGTATAGATATTTGCATCGAAATTCAAACGCGGTATATTCTAATAGAAATAAGAAAAGGAGAAAGTGTGGAAAATTGAGGTAACCTTGTGGAGCTCAGTTCCGGCGAGAAGAGAGTGGATTTCAGATAGGGACCAGAGCAGGGGGATAGGTTCAGAATAAGGAAGCAGTTGCAGATAACCAAACCAGGGAGATAGCGGACCCAGGCTTCGCTCATACATGACCGCAACTGCTAGACCTAAGTAGCCGTCGAGCTCCGCTTCCTCGATAATTTGCCGCGCACCAGAAGTCTTAATCGTCAAGCAACTGTCCTTCGGAATCCTCGCAACCACATCGCCTTCGTGGAGATCACACAACGCTCTTACGGACACTTCCGAGGAGTTCGCCGTCACTACCAGGTCCAGCGCGTCGCTACAATCTACGCCTTGCGACTTCATCCATTTCTTGAATGCTCTCAGTTTCCTACCGCAAAAACATATTACATTCAAACGTTAATTCAGAGAGAAAGAGGAGAAATAATGTGTGAATATTTCGGCGGTGGCATACCTGGTTGTCATTGCTACAGCAGCGGCGGAGAGCGGAGGCCGAAGGTCGGGATAGTAAGTACTAGGGGTGTTTATATAATACTGTACCAACAGATTTTTAGGTTTATTTACAGATTGTACTGTATGGTATTGTTAATGTTTTGTTTTGATTGTTATTAAAATTTTATTATAGTGTAACATTAAATCCGTTGTTACGTAAGAATCAAATATGTTATTTTATGAAATGATTGATTTGGTATGGTCGCATCATTACCTTGTCTTTTTCTCTCAATCTCAACCTACATTATTATTAAATAATTTTATTTTATCATTTATCCTACATTTTTATATACCGTACTATAATTTTTCTTTATAATATTGCAAGTTTATTCATCATATTACTGGTGCGTGATACCATGAAACGACGGCAAAACGACACAATCTATCTAAACATTGTATTCATCAAACGATAGAGTACAGTACAATACAATACGATACGATGCATTATGAAACGATGTGTAACAACCATCTAAACAAGTTGTTAATAAAACCGTAGGTTTTTTTATTTAAATATATAATGAAAAAATTACAAGAAAATATCGATAACTTCACACCATAACAAAAAATGGCCCATGCTTTTAAGCTTTACCCGACCTAGCCCATATTGTACTGATAGAAAATAAGGGTTCGCCAAACTCTACAGAGAACCAGTTCTCTATTAGTTCCCACAGAACACACGCACACTGCAGTAAGTAAATGGAACAATGGAGTTTTACGTGGAAAACTCCCAGTTCACGGGATCAAAAACCACGACCTACCTTGTAGGATTTTAACTTCACTACTGAGCAACTTTAGATTACAACCTATTGTAACCTAGGAATTAATCTCTTAATCCCTCACTAACTTGTAACACTCTATTACAAGCTACTTTGTAATAACTCTATTACAAAGACTTTAAACCTAGGAATTAACCTCTTAATCCCTCACTAACTTGTAACACTCTATTACAAGCCACTTTGTATAACTCTATTACAAAGACTTTATAACTCGACTAACTTTAGCCAAGACACAAACACAAGGGTTTATGATTTACAAAGATTTCCTACACAATGTTTCTAACTAAGCTAAGTAGGAATTACAAGTAGAGTGCTTTAACAAAGGTACAACACAACTAATGACATGTAATAACTTCAATACATGAAACTGGTCTTTGGTTATGTTATTCTTCGTTCTTGATGCCCTAGAGAATCACTTGCAAGATTGACACAGATTTAAGAGAATGCTTGATGAGTTCTTGAATGTGCAAGTAATTTGTTTTGCCTTTGTTTGATGTTAATATCTCATTTGTGACATCACTTGAATGATGTAAGCAAGTTAGGTAAAGGGTATTCCCCATAAAGTTGACTGCTGTACTATTTCTGTACTGTAGCGTGTGCAGGCAGCAACTTTACAGCTGGGGCAGTTGACCTGTACAGTCTCATCGGGAACTGGTAGCTATCTGTTCCTTATGTTGTTCCCTCTGCTGTTCCGTTGACCCTGAAGAGTTGACTGTCTCTCCAACTGGAAACTTGGTGATCTTTAAGTTCTTGAGGTTGTGTATCAAGTTCCTTATCTGGTTCTTATCAGTAAGTTTGTTAGATCATCAAAACATAACAGGGATACACATATAACCTATGATGTACATATTTTGAAAGCTAGTACAAATTCAAAATCTGTGTTCTTACAACCATTGCTTCTAAAAGCTATGGAGTTAAATTTGTGTTCTCACAATCATTGCTTTCACTCTCTTTTCTTTTCATCTCTTCTAGATATGCTTCAAGGGGCCATCCACCATTACTGTTTCTCCCCCTGTATCACCTGGTTGCAATGTGAGAAAATTGAACAATATAAGTCCACCATTGAAGGCCATTCAAAACTTTGCTTTTGAAAATAGGATTTTTTGAGTTTGTTAGTTGTTTGGATTGGGTGTTGTTCCAATTGATTGAAAATTCAAATGAGTTCAAAATTTAAACTTGAAGTGATTTGGAGTAGATTTGAGTTAAATTTCAGCAAAAACGCAAGGAAGAAGACGAAGTTAGTTTTTTGTATAAATATGTATAATCTTGTAAAATAGTGTATATGAGTGTATAAACACGTCTTATACACCTTTATACAAAGCGTCTGTAGACGAACTTTTTTCACGATTTTCAATTGCAATTCTTGTTCAAAACCAATCTAAATCTCCATTAAATGACTTCAAATTTTATATATAACCTCCTTATACTATTTCTAACAAGTCTAAATAACACCCACTCCAAATTTCTCACAAAATCAAATTCAAAATTTAAGCCCACATATTTAAGCTTGTTAAAAATCTATTTTTCACCACCCCAAATGGATTTGGTTTGTTGAACTAATATTTGAGTCACCGTTACTGATTCAAAAATTAACTTAAAAGCTTGAGCAATCCTTTTTAAAAATTAAATAGTAATTTCGAGAACCTATTGAAGTTGGATGTTGAATCTTAGCCTATTATTTTTGGGCTAGTTGGTTGTAAATTGAAGTATGGGCTATAAAATTAAAAAGTAGGGAGCCCATTTGTTCTTATGTGAAATTTTCCCATATACCGATAATTAGGGTAGGTTTTTTATTTTATAAAAATAAACCAAAAAATACCAAACCGTACCGAAGAAATTTATATGTGAAAAATATATTTATATTTTAAGTTTAAAACTAATAAAGCATTAAATTTTTCTTTTGGCTTTGGAATTATGAAAGCGGTTACAAGTCAACAAGTAACTAAACTCAAAATCTCAATTTTCAAACCTATTATGCTACTCCTACTGACACTAAATTATTTCCAGTATATTCACTAGCAAGACACAAAGTATTCTAGCGATTATGAGTAGCAAACTACAATGTATTAAATATGTTTCATTCTGTATGATTTAGATTTATCTTTTTTGAATATTTAATCTTCTATATATTTTATTCTTGAGTCCCAACTTAGTTAATATCTTTTCAATCATGTGATTTATATTTTTTTTTGTCTTTGCTTAGTTTCTCTTACACTACTGTAGAATAACTGATGGATCTATACTCTTACCATCTTTTATGTTTTTATAATTCATCACCCTTTAAATGTTAAAAATATCTAGACAGTTTTGCTAAGTCCTATAAAAGTATATATGTTATTGCATTCTATTTCTACTAGTGACTTTTACATGATATTTAAAAAAAATACCGAAAATTAACTGAACCGTACTGATACCGAAGAGAAACTGACATGATTGGGACAGTTTCGAAAAGTCTAATTTTGGTTATACATTATTGAATAACCGAAAAATTAGTATGGTATAAATGTTAATAAAAACCAACCGAACCGAACCATTGACACCCCTAGTAAGCAGACAAGGATAATTTTGAAAGATGAAGAAAAGGACCGACGAAGATCTTGTAAGACCCATAAAGTAAAGAAAATTTCCGGTAAAGCCTCACTTGTTTTATTGTAAGTTGTTGGTGGTCCTTGGAGAGTGCTTTTTATTAGAATTAACTCCTACACTTTACATTGTCTTATTTTATTTATTTTTTAAAACAATGATATTTATTTAAAATGAACTAGTCAGGTTCAAGGGATGTGATATCCCCTTGATCCATTACAAAACACACCTACATTATGCCACGAAGGTCATTCAAATTGCCAAGTTGGGATAAAGACCTACATATATTTTGAGAGATAAATTTAATCAATAAAATACCTTTTTTATGTCTCAGCATCCTTGCCATGATATAATGTGATGGTATTACAAAATGAGTAATTTTATTTATAATGGACCAGCTTCCCTTACTAAAATATGGGCCATTTTATTTGCTTCACAACAGTTGTGCATGATTACAACCCTCTCCATTTTTGATATCAACCACCTGCAATTATATATAATAGAGTGATAAGTTGGATATCCTTGATGTAGGTAAGTAATTACCTTAGTTGACTCTGATTCCACTTCCAGTTGCTAGATATTTAACTGAAGGGCCAGTTGAAGCCCTTGTTCAAGGGCTAGGAGTTCAGCATGTGTTGAGCTATTTGTGTGAATACACTTGGGAAACATGCTACCTAGTTAGCATTGCTTTTTGTAATAACACCTCATGCGCCGCTACAATAGATATTTTCTTTGAAAAGCATCACCAGTATTGAGTTTATACCAATCATGAGGGGGTCTGTTCCAAACTATTGAAATTGGAATATCTCTTTTAAATTACTCTCTCGAACCGCAAAGAGATTGTATTCTATAACATGTCGTAGTACATGAATGATGGAGAAACTAATGTTAGTATTATTCTCATTATTTTTGTTTCTATTGTTCCAGAAGTTCCATATAGAAAATGGAAAATATCGCCCCAGGTGATAGAGTTGTTATGCAATAAAGGGTTGATATCTCAAAGTACAATTAGCCAATGTGAATTGGCAATTAGTATCGACTTGGGGGGGGGGGGGGGGTACGGG